TCTTGACACCAATTGACGCCGCATTTCATGTGACCACAGATTTGAAGTCCGTTATAGCGAGCGATCGCAACACCAGAAGAATGGCTTATTTGGCGTTTGTATTCAAAGATCAAAACTATTATATTTTTCACTACTATTTGAGTGAAAATCTTTACCGAAGTTATGGTCAGAGCGAAGGCGTTCCCTATAGTCTGAAGCCATTGAGTGGTCCGATAAGTGCTTTCAATTTCCCGGCAAATGTGCACCGAATCGACGCCGCGGTCGCCAATCGGATCACATTTGAGGCACATTTCTTTGCGGACACCGATGTCTATACTTTGAGTTTCAAAAGTTGGACAAACCTTCCGGCGGCGCCTCTTAAGAGACCAATGATTGACGTGATTGGTGTCAATGAGAAGATTGAAGCGGCCGTCGAGACCGACACCGACGACAAAGTGATGATTATATTTGAAAAACACTATTGTTTGGTGAAGTGGTCCGAACGCAAGTGCGACAAACGATTGTTGTCCGAGTATTTCAAGTGTCCGATTCGGTCAACACCTCAGCCAGTAGTGAACCCCACGGCTATACCGACGGCTGCGCCCACCACTAGTAAACCCCAAACTACAGAATCAGTGTCTCAAAGCCCGACCACTACAACGAGTCCTATCACTACAACAACCGGTGCTCTCATTACTACACGATCTTTGGATTCGCGCGAAGAGTCTAATAATAATTTACTGATTTATGCGTTCATTTCGATTGTGTTTGCGATAGCATTGGTTCTAATGGTTTGCGCCCTTTATTTGTTTGTCGTCCGGCGGACACAATCCGAGACTTTGCCCACAACTAAAGTGGTGCCCATAACCAAAGAAGTGTCGGACAAGAAATCTGTACAATACTCGACACTTTCTAATGCTTTTTAAAGTGAATATGTTTTCAATAATCAGATTAAAAACCAATCTTTATGTTTATTAAATTGTTTTAATAAAAACTACTGACTTATAAATATGATATTGTTTGAAAAATTCATTGTTTAACCTAATAGCATTTTTATTTTCAATTGTTGTGTGATTTCCATTTATAACATTTATTACAATTATTAAAATCATATTTAATTAATTTGAAAAAGTTTATTGATGTCGATTTAAATCACTTTTGTACTTAATCTTATATTCATATTAATAATATTGCAATTATTAAAATCGATTCTTTATATATTATAAACCACATTCTTCATACCGGTAAATGAATTATGGTTGAAAGTTATCAATTTTAAACAATTTTAATTTAAATTATTGACTTTAATATCGTATAATTGAATGACTGTTGAAGTTATAGCCATCGATGTGCTGAAGAATACTTCCGTTCACTCAATGCGATCAAACAATTCTTGAGTTTTGGTAACTTTTGCATCACTTTTTCGACTTCTGGACAAAAAGATTTTGAATTAAGCGACAAATATTTAAGACATTGAAGGCATGACATCGACACCAATGAATCGTCGGTTAAACTGACATTCGTTAGACTCAACGACAATAGTTTCGGCAAATTGTGGCCAATGTTGGCAAAGAAGTGATCAGTGATTTCGTTGTGCGGACCAAAATTAAGCGACAAATACCGCAGATTTTGACATTTACTCAATGAATGCGATTGAATGGAGAAAACATTTTTGTCGTATAAGTCGAGCCGTAAATTAAGACGCCGTAAGCGCGGGAACCACTGCAACGACTCAATCACCGCCTTCAGGTCCGACATCGATAGCAAACTCGATGTCAATACCAAATCAAGAGCTGAAAGTTTTGTACATTTGCGGCCAATTTCTTGGATAGTATTTATGATAATATGATTGCTTTCGGCGGCGACCGACAGGTCGTACACAATCTTCAAGCGCTTGAGTTGACGCAAATCAGACACTCGTCGAAAGGAGTCGTTGGGAAGAATGACATTCACTTCCAACACATCCAATGAATCCTTTAGTTTGTTGACGAGAGCGTCAAATCGAGTCGAGTCCTCATTGATGTACAGAAAAGTTAATTTTCGCAATTTTTTTACTAAAACTTTGTTATTTTGGTCGAAAACTTGGGCCAAATCGGCGCTCAATTCGACCAAATTCTCGCATTTCATTAACAGTTCCGTGGAGTCGAAAGTCCATCGATTGGCCACAGAATACGGGTTCACGCAAGTCATGGGCCGGTCGTTGACCGAATACGTGAGCTCATTGATGGACCTTGGTCGTTTAATACTGGCTATTTTGGTCATATATCGCGCGTATTTATTCACAAAAGTTTGCAAAGTTTGTTCACTAAAGTCACTGAAGTCTAACTCAATGGAAGTGATTGTTGACATCGATGTAAAAATCATATGAAAGAGTGGATTGTAGTCAGAGATTGGCTCCAAATCTGACACATACTGAAGACTTAGCGAAGACAAGTGGTGACACTTTTTCAGTATTAATTCAATTACTGTTAAATCCATTTCAAAGTATATTTGCCGTGAATTCACACTGTTTTTGAACATTGAAGCAAATAATTTATGAGTAATCGTGAGCTCTGTTTGTCGCTCAAAGAGCAACCTCTGGAACTGTTTGGACACACATTCCATTCGGAATTTGTCTTCGAATGGCAGTAACGACAGCAAGAGTTCGCATAAGTCGTCGCCAAACCTTTCAAAGCAATCTTTGCGATAATTTTGAGACATTTTTATTAACAATTAAAACTTCTAATAAAATACAATTTATGTATTTTAAATGTATTTTATTTACAAATGTATTTTTTATTCTACTTTTTATACGATTATAATATGAGCATGTTCAAAATAAGTAGAATTTAACTTGAAGTACATTTGAACTAACAGTAAATGTGCAAATATTAAGTGTTAGAGTTTTTCATAGGAAAGTGAGATAATGAAATTGTTTCTCAACAATACATTGATATAAAGGGGGGTTTGAAAGAAAGGCTATAAAAAAGTGATCAAAATCTTAAGTATTGAACACAAAACTTCAAGTATTACTCCAATGCTGTCCTCTTCGGTGATCCCCTAATTGTGTGAACCTTTTATCTCAAATCCCATGACTGATAGATTGTGTGCCAAACAACTGTTAATACACTTTTGGTACACTTGTAGTACTTTGGATGACAATTATTGTTCAATTAGTGCACAAATAGTGTACATGTACTCTCATTATCGGTATTTATTGTATTACTAATTAAGTTAGCAATTAATAACATTTAAATAAAACTTTTATTAATAATAACAAAAATAAAAATACAATAAATTAATCACAAAAATGAACGATTGATAAAAAATATTTTAATTTTCGGACACTTTTTCAATAGCAAATCAATGGCCGATTGGCTGACAGTTGCCTCACTTAACGTCATGTGAATGGTCTCAATGGCTGTCAGTTTCGAGAGCTCTTCGACCGCATAATCGGTCAATTGTCGGGCGTTTTCGAGCCGCAGATATCGGAGTCGAGGAATGTTTAGATGAATGTCCGCAAAGAACGAGTCGCTTATAAGTGACGATTCAATTGACGACAGAGACAGGTGTGTCAAATGTGGACACGATTTGAACGATTGAGATAAGAGTTGCGACTCTTGGCCGGAAGTGTCCTCAATATTAAGACAAATGCGTCGAATGCGGGGTAAATACGTGCCAATTGTGGCCACAATTTGGTCCAAGAGTTGGCTAGACTTGGCTTTGAGAAAGAGCTCCAAACGAGACAATTGGTGACACTTTGAGGCAATAGTAGGCAAAGCGTTAACTATTAAACCGTTGATAACGTGATCACATTTATAGCTCATGAGACGCAGATCTCTTAGGGCCGAGAGTCGGGTCACACCGGCTATCAGTGCCATCAGTGGGCGTCTGTCAAGCAATACATCGCCGATAAACACTTCCAGAGAACGCAAAGACCGGGCGTTTAACTCAACGAACCGATCGAAACGATTCACGTCTTGGGAGTAAAAACAAAGTCTTGTTTTGCGGACATTTGGCACTAAAACGATGTCTTCTTGAGACGAATCGCCGAATAGATAGAAGTTCTTGAGCTGAGGACACGAACGGCTCAAATGGTGTTCAATACGCGCCACATCTGATGGAAGTGACCGAAGAGACAGTTCGCGAAGATTAGGGCCCCAAACGGCAAATATATTGTCGAGCGTTTGGGCCGACAGAGAGTAGAGATGGCCATCAAATGCGGTCACAAATGGACACCACTTGAGAAGTGTGTCAAAGAGTTGTTCATAATCTGCGAACCAATACATCACTTCAATTGATCTCAAGAAATGGCATTTCTTCGCAATACGAATCAGTCGTGACAAATGGATGGCAGACACCGACACCGGAGTGTCCACTGAGTAGACCAACCGATCATAGAATGGATCGATGAAAAGGCTGTGCTGACCGCTGAAGACCAGTCTCTGGAACTGATGGCAAACGCATTCGCATCGAAACGAGTCCTCAAACGCCAGATAAGACAATAAGAGTTCGCATAAATCGTCACCAAATCTGGTGAACGAGTCTTTGCCGGCCATCGACAGTGTCTCTCGCGTACAGTCAAAGCGTTACCACATTTGAGATCAGATGATATCTGAAGACAAAACGAGTGTCACAACAAAAAACTGGTTTCAAAAACTCTTGTTTACAAAATAGAGACACAAATGTTTGGCAATTGTGTTGAGTTGTGTTGAGTCACACATTCGGACCCTTTTATCATATAATATATGCTATGCTTTGTGTGCATAAAAAGGCCGTATTTTGCGGTTTAAATACTATTTCATAATTTTGGCGTTAAATTCAACGCAAAAATGTTATTTAATATTCATTTTACACCATATTTTCAAACAACCGATCATTTAATTCACAATTTGTATACATTTAATGGCAATTAAACACAAAAAAATATATCAAAAAAACTTCATTCATAATAAGCTCTCAAAAAAATATTTAAATGATTTGTTTTTAAATGAAATATTTTTTTTATTATTCAAAAAAAGAAAATTATTTTTAAAAACTTTTTGGAGATTTAATGTCATAAAAATAAGTGCAAAATTTGAGGATTCAATCATTGATGGCAACCATTTATTACATTACTATTTCACTTCTTTTGTCTCAGTCTTCTGGTCCTTCTGTACCTCCTCTTTGTCGGCCGACTCTTTGGTCGTTTCCGATTCGCTGTCGTCTTCTTCGGAATCGCTGTCTTCGGTGTCGGACTTATTCTCATCTTTGATATGCATTTTATTCAATGTATTCGTGATCTGGTCGTCGGGATCGGAGACAAACTCTTTGGACTCTTCAAACACTTCTTTAAACTTTTGTGCGTCTAATGAATCAAACTATTTATTAATACAAGTAATTAGAACTTCAATTCAATATCAATACTCTCGGCGTTTCCGAAACGAATGGCGAGTGTCTCGGGTTTGGGCGTCTCGTCGGACAGATCGGCGAAAGTGCTCCACACAAACACTTTCTCACTGTTTTGGTGTTTCTTCAGCTCCATTGCAGGCATTACTAAATTATGAAAAAAACATTGCATATAATTAAACACCAATTAATAAATGTGGACACAATTTATTTACTGTAATGATTAGCGCATAGTTTCAACGTCTTGTCGCGTCTCATCAATATCCTGACGGCACGGATCTGGTTGTGTCTCAAGAGCTTCACTTCGCCGGTTCCGCGCTCTTTGAATTGAGGCGTCTCTTCGGTGGTGTCGTAACGATACAGTTTGGCCCGACTTTACACACAATCAATCAATCAATTCATCAATTATTACAAATGAATGGCAACTGTCTTACAGTTTAAGGAGTTCCGTCTCGTCCTCCTCCAGACTCTTCAGATCAATCAATGGTAACTGAATAATGGGATCAAAATGAATGTCTGGATTCGAGTCGGCGCTCTCCGATTCGGTCCTCTCGCGGCTCTTGGCGTCGTCCGTCTTGTGGCCATCAGTGGCTGTCGTCGGCTCCACCTATGGGTCCATCAAATGTCACATCAATTTCATTGCAAAAGAGGGCCAACCGGTGGTCAACACACGACCGGTGTCTTCGGGTGTCTTACTTTGTCGGCGGGGGTCGGAGTCGTGTCACTCATTGTCTTCTTCGTGGCCTTCAATTACGGGTCAAATGAATGGATCAATGGATGAATAAAACACTTTTGCGACAAAAACACGCAAAACATGTGACAAAAGGGTTCAGAAAAGTGAGTGAATAATAGAGTTTGCAATTATGGGTGAGTTTTGGGCTCAAAGTCTATGCCATTCAACGCAAGTCTGTATTCATTGTGTATTGAATGCGCCAAAACACACGTCCATTCATATACAACGTTACACTTTAGGGAAAGGGGGTTTAAAGTTTCCATTAATTAAATTTGATTGTTTCATTTAATTGAACACATTTTGACTGTTTTGTTGTATATAATTATAGATATCAACTGATTTATACATCGATATCATGTGATTGACATTTTTGACCATAACTACAGAGGAATATCTTGTGTTCAAATTTCTAAAGGGTTCATCACTTGTGGCAAAACTGATGTCATCACGTGATTCGTGAATGACTATCGTTTACATCATTGGGAAATGAAAACAACAATATTTTCAATGTTTTGAGCGCTAAACTAGTGTTGAATCTCTCGCTCCAGAAGTGTCTCATCGGTGGTCACATTGAAGATAATGGCCTTTAAAACCTCTTATCGCTTTGTAATCGTGGATCAGATGCGAGACAATGTGAGCCATCAGTTGATACTTAAACTAAAACCAGTGATGAGTAAAACGGATGACTCGCTCACCGATGAGTGCTGTGAATGTGTTTTGAGTGGCTTTTGGTTGGGATCGGATCTGACCACCGGTGATGTCGTACACGTATTGGAGCCGAAGTACGACAATCGGCGGCTGATTGTGGACAACGACAACGGCGTTGTGGTGAGGAGTCCGGACGCGTTGGTGTCGATCACGAACTTAATGTCAGCCAAGTATTGTCCGCGAAAGACATGGCTGTCCTCCAAGTTTGGCGGCTGGACTCACGGCAATCGTGTGATGACTGTCGGCACTGTTGTTCACCAGCTGTTCCAGGAGTCGTGTCGCCAGAGAGTCCGCGGTGTCGACCAAATACGGGCCCTCTTTGTCGCGAATATCGCCGACTATATCAACGATTTGTACGCCATTGGAATCACTGAAACCGATATCACCGAAGACGTGGTCCCATATATGGCCACAATCGCCGAATGGATGGACAAATATCTGTATAACATGTCAGCCATCGGTGGCGATAACAATGGTTCCCGAAATGAACCAAAACTACAAGTACTGAAAATTTTAGACATTGAGGACAGCGTTTGGAGCACTCGATTGGGTCTCAAAGGAATCGTCGACTTAACAGTAAAAGTGGCCATAAGTGAAGACAATACCGAAACGCGGCTCACAATGCCGTTAGAACTGAAGACCGGAAAGGCCTCCTTCTCGGACGAACACATCGGACAGATAGGGCTCTATTCAGTGATGTTAGACGAGAGGGACCGCACTCTCAACAACGAAGGACTGCTTCTTTATCTCAAAGATAGGCCACAAATGCGTAAAATTGTGACCAAAAAGGCGGTGAAACGGGATTTGATTCAAATGCGAAACAATTTGGTGAAACACTGGGAAAATGTGGAGTCGGGTCCGCAACCGCTCAACTCTCACCGCACGTGCCATCGATGCGAGCATTTGCTCGACTGTTGCCTCACTTTACAGACACTCGAATCTCATTATTTGCCGCAATCGTCGGTAATGTCCGAAGAACTTATACCCGAAGTGTTGTCTCATTTGTCAACAGCAGACTTGGATTTCTTTAAGAAATGGATCACTTTATTGAACATTGAATCCAAAGCAGTGACAGATAGAGCGCAGGATTCAAAGTCTGGTTTTTGGACACAATGTTCAATGGATAGGGAGTCGAAAGGTTTAGGTTTTGGGAAACTAAGCATTTCATCGGTTGTCAACGATTCGGTAGTGTTTGTTAGATGTGACAAGTTTTCGGGCGATTGCCATGACTTTAATCTAACAGATAATGTGATGCGTCGGTGGGAAAGAGTGGCCATTAGTGTAGACAGCGTTACAGACGGCGGACCAGAAATACATCAAACAAAACGAGTGGCACTTTTCATGGGATTCATTAAACGCTTGGATAAGACAGAGATTGAAGTGATTTTGGATAAAAATGGAGACTCACTGTCGCGGAAAGGCGTGTATCGGATCGATCACATGTCCAGCACTGGTCTCATGTCTAGTAATTATACAAATTTGTTACGTTTAATGGACTCGAGTGATGACCAGTCGGCGAGACTGCGAAACATTGTAATCCATAGACAGGCCGTCAGTCACAGTAATAAACTGAAGCGACAAATCGTTACGAAAGGCAAGCATATACTCAAAGCGTTGAATCTGAAGCAACAGAAGTCCATATTGAGTGCCCTCTCAACCGACAGTTACCTGTTGTTGCGGGGAATGCCCGGCGCCGGCAAAACGCAAACAATTGTCGCTCTAATCAGGTTATTGGTGGCGTTGGATCAGTCAGTACTCATCACGAGTTACACACACGCGGCCGTCGATAACATACTCTTGAAACTCAAACAACAAGACATTGATTT